CCACCCAGGGGCTGCAGCCTTTGCAGGGGAAGGGTCTGCCCTGGGCCCAGCGACGGCGGGAGCGGACTCGGGCGCTTGGTGGGTCCGGAGGGTGGTGCCCAGAGAAGAATCCGGCCGGGTTACGTCCCACCCTCTGCCCTTCTGTTCTGAAGCACAAATGCTTACGGAATCGGTTCTGGTTTGTGTAGGGCGGTGCTGGTCGAGGGATGATCTCCCGGAGCACAAACAATCACGAACTATTTTAAGGAGCAGTGGGGCTCTCGCATTTAATGGAAAAGAACAATATTGAGCAATGCTGTGAGTGGGAGTTGCCGTGGAAACGGAGGCAGTGCAGCAGGGGGGAGAACTGCAGTGCCGGGAAGGTGGATTCCCGGGTAGGAATCCCATCCGGAGGAGCGCAGGGGCAGGCGAAGGGGTCTGTGGGGGCTGTGGGCTCCCTTGCCCAGCTCTGGGCAGGAGGAGAAGCCCCGGAGCTGCATGGGAAGAGGCGTGCTCTGTGTACTGCCTGGTATCGTTACAATCCCTGTGCGCTCTTCGCAGCGCCTAACAAACCTTCATGAGGGTAATTAGCTCCTGCTCTTTATTTATTGTAGCTATTACCCAGATGAGGAGCCAAGATTCTGAGTCCAAACAATGTGTTTATCCTTTGCCAAACTGCCCCAAGAGCGAAAACAACCTTTTTCTGTCAGTGCACTCGTGTTTGTAGAACGACGTTTGCACCAGAGACCTGTACGGACCTTCTGGTGATCCCTTGGCCGGGTTCTTGGGCAGCTCCCTGGCGGCCTGTGGCAACACCGAGCCCAGGACAGCCGGTGTGAGGGGATGAAGGAGCCGGAGCTGGTGCTGGCCCACAGTCCCCCTTGGGCACAGGGTGATCCAGTGAGGGGTCACAAAAGTTTCCCTTTTGCACGGAGGGAGCCTGCTCCGCTTTCCTCCGTTACTGCTCCTGTGCTGAATTCATGAGAAATTATCGGTTCTTCTTTCCTGGCTGCCCTCGCGAGTGGTTGCTGCGTGGGGGCTCGGCCAGCGGCGAGGTTCAGGCTGGTGAGGCCCCATCTTGAGTGCTGTGTTCAGGTTTGGGCCCCTCACTACAAGAAGGACATTGAGGCGCTGGAGCGTGTCCAGAGAAGGGCACTGGAGCTGTGAGGGGTCTGGAGGACACGTCTGATGGGGAGCGGCTGAGGGACCTGGGGGTGTTCAGCCTGGAGAGGAGGAGGCTGAGGGGAGACCTTCTCGCTCTCTACAGCTGTCTGAGAGGAGATTGCAGAGGGATCAGGGTTGAGCTGTTCTGTCAAGTAACTGGTGATAGAGCAAGAGGAAATGGCCTTAAGTTGCCCCAGGGGAAGTTTAGATTGGATATTCGGAAGAATTTCCTTACCAAAACGGTCATCAGGCACTGGAACGCGTTACCCAGGGCAGCGGTGGAGTCCCCATCCCTGGAGGGATTTAAGGGTGGTGCAGATACAGTGCTGAGGGACATGGGTTAGTGGTGGGCTTGGCAGGGTTAGGGTGATGGTTGGACTGGATGATCTTACAGGTCTTTTCCAATCTGGGAGATTCTGTGATTCTGTGAGTGCACAGCGCTGTCCCGCAGCCCCGTCCCACGGCATTTCAGATACGGGACGTTTTGGCTGCAGGAGCAGAAGGTTCCCAGGGTTT